CTAACTTTAGCTTGTAGGCTGACTGTTGCTGTCTTCTCATATCTTGTTAAATTTACCAGCTATGTTCAAGGCCCGTGCAATTCATGTTCTATATCTTGTGAGTGACAATTCGACTGCAGTGACAAATCAGCCTTAGTACTTTAATGTACTTTAGTTGTTCCAAATCAATGTTCCAATTTTATCTTGACAAGGTGCTGGAGAAAGGAAACAAATGTGCGTTTAGGAATCTTGGCAGTAATTTTCACACTAAAAAGCAAAACGTCATCAGAGAGTCTTGGCATTCTTCCCTTTGATTCAGCCATAAGCGAACAATGAAATCGCATGTTTGTCAGCACCCTGGAGTTGATATTCATTCCACTTGCGTAGTCTACTGTTGCTTGGATCATGTTTTCTAAGAATAAATCCAATGGCTACTTTCTTTCCGACATTTTATGCCGCAGTTCATTTTTGCAGTTTATTTCCTTGTCAAGGATAACCCGACAACACAATATCTTGAAATTTGAATTAAACCAACCAAAAAGTAGATGTGCCTTCAACAGAGAGAGTAACATCTCAACTCGACAATCGAGGAATGAATTATCATTACATTATGGATTGCAAATGCATAACTACAAAAACCTAAATGCCTATTAAATATATTAACCGTGTTGAATTTTGCCACAAGCAATGAAGGTGTAAAATCACACAGGAGAACTTGCTGAAGTCATGGCATTTGAATAATATTGAAGGGAATATAATTTTGTAGTTTGGGAAGGTATATATTGAAACACAATGTACCCAGTATTCAATGCTGGTTGCTTGGGCCTAAATAATGGAAATACTGTACAAGACTTTTCTTTAGAGTCAAAAATTCTCTCAATCCTGCCTACCTTTTCCATACTCCTTGATGCCTTTCCTTCACAAGTACTACATCTATCTCTTTTAAGACTTTTCTTTCTTTAATCAAAACATGTTTATGTAGAACATTGCAAAATGTAAAATCATGCCATACATTTGAAAAGAAATGTATCCAGAGAGCAGTGCTTTGAAAATGCGGTTACTCAGGTGCTTAATATTTAAAATTCTAAATTATAGCTCTAATCTAATACAGCTACACTCTTTTAATGCTTGTAAACTTTAATGTGCACCTTATTTGTTTTTAAGAAAAACAAAAGTGACAACACAGGAGTATGTGATGCAGACCATATAATAATAATAATATTAATAACAATAATCCTTGCATTTGATATAGCACCTTATCATGTCGTTGCGACGTCTCAAAGTGCTTCATAGAATATACTGTCACGTGAAATGACTGTATTTTGTGACCATAACATATGGTATGTCCAGAGCAGATGTGGGTAATGTGATGTTGACAATTCAATATTTTTCACTGGAGGCAGATGCCTCTACCTTTGAAAGGATATTACTGTTTTTTCTTGCATTAGTATAAAACCTGCGAGCTTAACCTTTAACACATTGCTTCACTGAGTGAAGTGCGGCAGCCAATTGCGCACAGCAGTGTCCCACAAACAGTCGTGGTTTGAAGTGACCAAGTTATTATTTTTTTATTTTCTTGAGGGATTATTATCAGGCGTGTGGAGTAAGGAAACTTGCCCAAGGTTTCACCCTGCTGGGAATTGAACCCAGGTCTCTCGCTTACAAAGCGAGTACTGTAACCACAGAGCTACGGAACTCCACATATGTTCACCAAGTACAATGTAATCAAAATATAAATTTCATTATTCACAATGTGCATTACAAATAAATCGATCAATTTAATTCAGTGTCTCTGAAAAAGAAAACTATCTCGAATGATGAGCATTGTATGTTGACAATTAATATCTGCACCATGACTGCTTCATACCAGTATTTTCAGTCTAATGTTTGGACAGTTTCTATCATTATATCAAATGCAAGGATTATTATTATTATATCTGAGGAGAAGAATGAGGAAGGTTTGTAGAATCTTGAAATCTCTGTGTTTAGTTCATAAACATTAAAAGGATTTGGAGCTGATGGGATAGATTGAATGAATCTTTTGGTAAATTGGGAAGCTAGGCTAGATGGCCAAATTGTACAATTCTGCCTCAAACTGTTGCTCTGCTCGCATTTCAAATCTGGTCAACAAGTGAGTCACGTACGTGAGATGAATTAAAGTACCAGAAAATGTGTTTATAAATATGAAAAAAGAAAGAAGGAGGACTCTTCTCTGTCAGGCATCTGAAACCAGGCGTTAAGTCAACTAGAGGTGATGTGCTGATCTTCAATCTGAACCAAGTTATACACAGGGTGGTTAGAATTCTCTGTCACCACCTGCAGTTGAAGCAGAGTCCATCACTTGTTTCAAAGGGAATTAAATAGATGCTTGAAAATTAAAAGATATGGGGCACAAGCAGGTGTGTGAGATTGGATGAGGTGGTTCATGTGGAGAAAAACAACAGTCATATGGCTTGTTTCTAGGCTGTAAAATTCTATGATTCTGTCAACAGATTACCATCAAAAACAGGTTCTCTAGTATTTGTGTTTGTCTTTTCTAAAGGTTCAGTAACTGCTGATCAGGGCTCAAACTTTTCAAAGAATTCAGAGTTTACCTTTTGAATTTACAATTACAATCCATTTTTCAAGAGATAAGATTTATTGTAAGATGACATTTGTTTTGTGATTTGATAAATGTATTGGAAATTGGTCTTGGAACATGCCCTGGCATTTGCTCTCACTAATGACAGCTAAAGAAAGAATGCATTCTGCCTCAGCCAGCATGATATTCACACTTTCTACTGTTTTCTGTGAAGAATAATAAACAGAAGCTCCCTCTGCTGCTGTTGCTTCACTTTACATGCAGTATGTTTTATTAATCAATTTGACACAAACATTGTGATGTAAAACGTCCATTATTTTGTACAGTGCTTATGATGCACAGATTTAGTCCTGTAGCTCAGTGGTTAGAGCACTCACCTTGCAAGCAAGAGACCTGGGTTCGATTCCCAGCAGGGTGAAACACTGGGCAAGTTTTCTTACTCCACGCACCTCTGCTTACCTAGCAGTAAGTAAGAACCCGGTTGTTAGTCGATTGGCAGATTGCTTATCCAGGGTAATAATTCCTTTAAAAAAATAATAAATTGGTCACTCAATCCACGACTGTTTGTGGGACATTGCTGTGCGCAATTGGCTGCCGCATTTCGCCCACAAAATATACAGACAATTCACTTTACATTATATTCTGTGAAGCATTTTGAGACATCTCGAAGACGTGAAAAGGTGCTATATCAAATGCAAGGGTTATTATTGTTACTACAGACTATAGAGTATCTAGGTTGATTAAATTGTTCCCAGTCTTTAAGCCTTTTGCAGAATTGAATGTATGTCCAGAGGTATTCATCTGTTTGTGTCATTTTATGAAGCCACTTGCTTACTACAAATTCTTGCATATTAAATAACATACCATAATAATATAAATCCTGTGGGGATAGCACATTAAAAGGTAGACAAATTAATTACCTCCTCCTCATTATTAAGAATGCACTTCAGCACATTTGATCTCATCTTCCAAAATACCCACCGTACCATCCTACTATCATAGCATCGAGCTTCAATGAGTCCAGTGTCCCAGTCTCAACCACATTTTCTGGTGACTCGTTCCAATCATTACCCTCTGGGTAAACAAATACTTCCTGGTGGCTGTCCTGAAATTGCTCATTATAACCTTGAACCTGTGCCCTGCTGCCTTCAATGAGTTAACAATGAGCTATAAAGAATAATAAATAATAATAAAAAATAAATGCCTTTCCAGGCTGTAAATTTCTGCGAAGCTCTGAGATAAAAGGAAAAAAAAATCTTATTCTACAATAATATTATGATCAGTATACTCAAAGTTGGTGCCCATTTTATTTATATAATAGCTTGTCAGCAAAAAATAAATCTATTGTTAAATTGTTCAAAACAAATGCACTGCACTTAACAAACTTTTTTTTCCCTTAGGTTTGTGCAGTAAATGAACCTCAGATCAGGTCAAGAGTCAATGCTTATTATAGCACAAGCTGTATTTTGATATACAGCTACAGACTTAATCCGTTAGCCTCTCGTACTAATACTAGAGCAGTGTGATTGTGTGATACCGTATTTACTGTAAAGCGTACCCATAGAGGTGGGGAAATATAGCAATATACTTTTTCCTGAAATCACAGTGTACCGAATGCAATTGACATTAAAACCTGCTCTAAAATAGATCAAATGCTTGCGATGTAGAAGAATGCCAAAGTTCTGAAAGGGTATATTTAATCCACAGTAATGCATTACAAGATTTGGAAATGCACTATTGTGTGACTTAAATCTATTATCAAAATCTTCCTGAATAAACAGACCAAGATTGTACCACCAAGATATTGTGCTCAGATATGGGGAGGAAATTGTGTATTCATATCTGCTTTAAAACCTGCAATCATATATATTTTTAAAATTACCACTCTGTCCTATTCAAATAAATCTTAAAGAAAAAAAGACTCAAAAGCATCATTACCAGCAGTGTATGCATTGAGCATTTGTGTGGATTGAGGTGGACAGTAACTACAAAGCATTGGTATAACTATGACTTCTTACCAACGAATGGGAAATGTGTCACTGGGCAACACCTCCAACAGATTAAAAGCAAGGATAACTTGTGACTATTATAAATACACTACCAAGTTACTTATGTGACTACAGTGCATACAGTTCCTAAGTCTTGGCTCTCACCAACCTAGCCTCATATTTTCCAGAAGTAGGGGATTTCTCTGGGGAGAGAGTGCACAGTTCATTTCCAAGCACAGGGAAATTTCCTTGCATAGGTGGCGTGCATTATGGTGGTGGGTTTCCGCATGTATCAGACACCTGGTTGACCAAAACCCCACTCAGTATACACAGCACACATTTTATGATCACATGTTCTGTACCCCCCCACGGTCGCAGTCTTCTGTTTTCTGAGTTAGAGGAATTTACATTGATACAATGTATACTCATTTTACTTTTTTATTTAATTGCAGGTTCCTGATGGTGTTGATTTGTTTGATCTTCAGTGTACTATCTACGATAGAGTACTATGCTGATTTTGCCACCGGAACACTCTTTTGGATGGTAAGTGGAGTACTGGTAGACTGTGGAGGGAAAATATACTCGTGACAGCATTATTGATCAGCACAGGTCAAGCAGGATCATGATCCGCTTAGAATCGTGAATCTATGCTGAGTTGCTATCAAAGTAAATCCTTTACATATGAAGAGTTTTTTTTAATCTATTCAAATACGTTTTAGAATAAAACATGAAATGTTGTATGCAGTAATGTACTTAAGTGTGTAACAAATGCTCTGTGAAATGCTGTGAACAATATTACATGAATATTAAATACTACATAACATCATTAGCCACAGTCAAAAATATCTGGAATTGTGGACCCTTTGAACATTTTATTTCAGAAAAATGTTTAAACAAATGCCCAGTAGAGGGAGATGTTGCTTTAATCATGTAACATGGCAAATGAAAGAATAAGAGTCAACTAATTTAGTAGATAAAATATGTATTTGATGTATTCTGATTGACTGACCAGCAGACACTAACTCCAGACAAGATTTCACACCGCTGTTAAAGCATTACCACACGCTGTAAAGTGTTCTGAGACATTACCTGCCTGAAGGGCATTAAATAAATGCAAGTTGTTGTTGCTTTACATTCCAACGACCCTACTTAAAATTGTGAGTAATACTATAACCAATGTGTAATTTTTCATTGTTTTGTAAGGAACAATAATTAAAATGTTCCTTCCTTGATTCTTTTCACCCACGGGACAGAATAAGGTTTAAATTGAATATTCCACTTTGTTTTTTGTTGGGGGTGAGGTGGGTAGATAGGATTTAACTTTGCTGTAACATTAAGACGTATTCACTCAGCTGTATATGTGCAGCTACTTTTGGCAATTACAAATTATCAACTAAGTGTTAGTGAGTGAAAACATGACTGTGAATTACTTTTAACTACTGAACTGCAAAACTATTAGTAAAATCCCTGACAAATTAGCAGTTGGAACTGTCTGCGTCTTATCAGGTGAATGTAACTGATTGCATTTGTTTTTTTTGCTTTGAAACATCCTCTTGACGTGAAAGCTCTTATCTAAATGTAAATTGGATTGCCCTGTATTTTATTCACATGATAAAGCACTTCATAATTCCCAGTGTAATGTTACTTAAACAGAAAAAATAATCTGTCTATGTTTAGATATCACATCTTAATTGTTTCAAATTAAAGGTCAGCTTTTGAAATATTGGAACAGTATGCCCCTACCAGTATGGTATTAACAAAATGCATTTATTGAAAGATTCTGTTTGATATGTTCAGCTCTCAGCCATTAAAATAAGTGAATTAATGAGCAGGTAGTGGGTGGCTTTCAATTATCCCTCTGCCAGTCTTACCTCCCACATCACATTCTTGAACTTTAAATGACCCACATGCTTTCAAAGCTTTGAATTTATTGTTCTGTTTGCACATCTGCAAAAAATTGTATTAGGAGTTCATCATTCTGCTTTATTTCATAATATCAAAATTCAATGCATTTTTACTGCATCCATTTGAAAATGCTTTTGTAGCCTGCTGAAAGATGACAATTTCATCACCTTAATTAATTAATTATATAATATCACGCAGATCTATACTGGATCTAAAGAAATGGAAAACAGAAGCTCAGTAAATCAAATTTTATGAGACTTAATTTAATTGGTACATCGATAAAATTATTCAACCAAACTCCCCACAACTAGCATAACTTTCTGACTTCTGAGGTTTTAGGTATCATTGTCGTAAGGTTCCTTGCATAATAAATCCAAATGAGATAACTTTTTGTGGAATGTTTATTTTGACTGCAGCCTAGTTTTACAGTTCGAGATTAAAGTAAACAAAACCTTCATATCCTGAGTCAATAGACTTAGCGTGTATGAATATAAATGCAAAATCCATAAAACCCAAAGGTATACAACAGTGGTTTCCATGGCTTCCGACTTGCATACTTGCAGAAATGCTCCCAATATTACACTGCTTAGTATCATATCACCCCATCAAACTGAGTGATTTCCTGAAATCCTTAATCTCCTGCCCACTCCATCTGCTCTGCCAACTCAAACATGCTTCATGTACCCCACCCCATCTGCTCCATCTTCGTCATGGAGGCTTTCACCAACTTTGTCCTCTCTCTCTGCAACTCTCAAAAGCGCCTTTCATGTCTGAAGGATATCTCAAAGGATCCACTGTAAAGTGGTGACTGTATTTTGTAGGCAAATGCAGCAGCCAATTTATGCTCAGATAATAAATAATCTTTGCATTTGAAGTAGCGCCTTTCATGTTGCAAGGACATCTAATGTGTTTCACAGGTTTTACTGTAAAGTGTAGTGACTGTGTATGTCATAGTTAAACTCAGCAACAAATTTACGCATCACAATGTACTACTAACAGCCATGAAGTAAATGACCAATTTTATTGCGAATTATTGTCTAGGACACCCCTCTCCCACCTCAATAATTAGCTTAAAATATACAGTCAATTCATTTTACACTATATTCTGTGAAGCACTTTGAAGCATCTTGAAGATGTGATAAGCTGCTATATCAAATGCAAGGATTATTATTATTATTAGCTAGTGTGCTCCACAACCATGATGGAAAAGAAGAACTCAGCTCAATAATATCCAGGTAGAAATTCAACCAAACTCCAGAGCTAGAATTTCCACCTTGTCTAATGTAGACAGGGAATTTACCAACAGTTGGAAAAATCTAGTTTATTACTGCAGTAATGTTTCTCATCACAAGGGGTCAGATGAAGATTGGAAAGGCACTCTGTGTGAAGTACTGCCAATTTGATTTGTTTTGCAACTTTCTTAAAGCCAAATTATTTAAAGTTTCTCTTGAAATATAAGTTACTCAGGAGATTACGTCAATATTAATGTAAACACACTGAACGGAGAGTGACTTAATTTAGTGTAATGTGTGTTACAGACTTGTTGCATATGAATATAGATTGTGGTTGGCATAATTTCTAAATTCAAATATTTCTATTGGAAAATGTGGAATTAGTTAAGGGTGGATTACTTTTTGCAATTTATTTTGTAATCCAGGGCCAGTTTCGACAGGCAATTGAAATTTTTGAAGGATCTGGGCTTCACATAATATTAAAATCCGAACCTGTTTTTTAAAAAAATATTATTTGAATGTTTTCTCCATCTACAAGGTAGCTTTCTCTAAAAACTTGTGTTCTGAGATATGCAAATAAGATAATATAATGACAGATATTTTCCACGGGCTGCAGAGTTCTGGATAGACTGCAGCTTGCGCAGGGAAGAGCTGGTGAGTCTGGCGAACAGCCGTTGGAATAGCCAAGCTTGGATGCAATGAAACCTGAATGACAGTATTGGCAACCTGAACGGGGAGAGAGGTAGTGGTGGAGGCTGGTAATGGAGGTTGAGGGAAAGCTGAGCAAGTGAGTGTCTGAATTGAGTCTTGAATTGAGAAATTTTGATGGAGCGAACTGCAGCAACTAATAAGGGTGAAATCAGGCTGTCAAATTGAATATCTGCTTCAAGCTGCACACGTGTGCAAACAGTGAGGCTTTCAAACTTCCGTGACAAGCTCTTAGGCTCGATTGTTCAGAGTTGGCATTCTCTGAGTGAATCTTCTTGAAACACATGATTCATTAGGGCCACACGACTTCCTTCTTACAGCAGAATACATAGTGATCAGTGAAGGAGAAAAGCCATGTATAGTTTTTCACCTCGCCACAACTGCAGCTGAAAAAATAGTTATTTTATGCGTGTTCTTTAATCACTTGCTAGGAATTACTTTCTTATTTTAGTAGTATGTTGTTACATAAAGTCACCGATACAAAGGATCTCTATACATTTTAGACCCTTTTTTATATGATTTGATAAATAAACCACTAATTAAAATGTAAAATTCCTAAAGTTAGCTTAACTATCAAAATAAAGCAGGCCAGAATGGGGGAGTGTACATCTCACGTAACATCTCACATATTACTTTTGAGCAACAGATTTTCTTAAAGCTAAAGTATCAACCACCAGAACCTGTCATATCAAGTCTGGATTCACTATTTGGAAGTGATGAGAAGTTATCGCAAAGCATTGGAGAACAACTTGCATCTTGATGTTTTTCTTTTGCCTTTTAATTATAACAGTAATTTATAGACCGCAGCAAATTTGTGGTCTTCTACTGAAAATGTGGTGTTTTTCCACCTTCCTGAATGACCTCCTAGATCTTCACTCCACCATTCTGGCCTGCATTATGCCCCCAGCCCGCTCTGCCCCAACATCAGCAAGCGAGCTTTCAAGCACTTCATCTCTGCCTTGTCACTCCCTTTTGGCTTTTAAAACTCATCTAAAATCCCATCTCTTTGCTTGTGCTTTGAGCCACCTTCCCTATCCCATCTCCTTCCTATCTCAGGCTCCTGTTCAATGTTTGTGAAATGCTTTGAGACTTTCAGCCTTAGTGAAAGGGACTATACCAGTACAAATTGTTGTTTAAAGCACAATCATCTCGAAGAGGAGTTTCAAATTGCAATGTGACTTTCCAGGTTATGTTTTCTTTACATATCAGTTATATTTACTTCACTGGTATTATTTCTCAAGCCCCACTTGAATCCAGTCAAATGGTTCCCATTTTTGGTTAATTTTGTGGTCACCAAAGTCAGGGATGTGTTAGGAAATGGAACAATTTCCCATTTTGGTGCCCAGCGTCACCAGCAATCACTATCGGATCAGGCACAGCACGGTTGAATGGAGAATAAAACACCTTCCATTCTGTTGAGCATCCTGTTTACCACAGCAATGTGACATTTTTTTCACTTCCACACTTGCCCTCCTGCGAGTGAGATTGTTAATTAATGCTAAATTAAATGCCGTTTTGAAATATGAGTCACTTCTACTCAGAACTGGATTGAAACTGATCAAATATCTTTTGATCTAAAACACTTACACAGGAGGCTTTCATCCCTTTAATTTGGGTGAGAACATGGCCTAAATTTGAGAGGTATTAAAGTCTATGTGTTTATCTACTGCACCACCTAGTCTCCTAAGCAATGTCTCATTGTAGAAAAATCTGAGTAGTTTAATTCATAGAATTTGGGGCACAAGCTTCTTGTAGAGACCGTGCCTAAAATTAATCAAAAACGGAAAGAAAAATGAAACAATTGGTGATAGAAATTTGACCTACATTTTCCTTTGGTGTTTCCAATCAGTAAACGTGTGTCAAATATGTTTGATTCTGGCTCAGGCCTCCTATTTGTCCCTTGTGCCCTCTGTTCCACCATCAGTGGTCATGCTTCAGCCACTACACTCCAGAAACTCTGGAACTCTCTCCCTCAATCCCTCCGCCTTGCCTCCTCCCTCTCCACCTTCAAATCCTGTCTGAAGACCTACCTTTTTGATCGTGCTTTTTGATGGTCCCATCTGACTAAACAATCTGCTGGTTGGTCAAAAAGAATGCAGTGGACATAGTAAACATTTTTTTCCTGCCTCGAATCCAAATTCTTTTAAGCTGTCTAACTATTAATAGATTTTGCTCTTTGAAACCGTCAACATTCTTTAAAAATGAATTATTCAAATTGCCTTTAAAAACAAATACAGAGAGTCTGCAGTGGAATTTGACATTTATTCCTGCTCCATACTTAAAAGAACAAGGTTGTGAATGAGACCAAAATTGTGAATAATTGGTTTTAAGTGTGAATTCCCCTGCTAATCAATCCTAAAGTGAGACTGTTCTAAGTCATTTGCAGATCTGGGTTAAACCATCAGAAAGTTAAATGTGTCATATGATCTGCTCCCGACCGTTGTTTGGAATAAATCACTCTGTGCATTTACTTTTTGTTCTCTGGCTGGAATGTTTGCAAACCAGGCTCAGACTTGGTTAACTCTTTAAGATCCCACTCAATTTGCAATCTGCTATATTGGTAAGGATACCTTGCACTATTTCTTTATTAAGCAAACTCACAAATGCATGAACTGAATCGTCATTTGATTTGAACACACAATATTAGAGAGCTCCCAACAGCTTTCAGGTTTCTGAAAATTTAACTCAGATCAACACAAAAATGGATTCAACTCACAACAATGAGAGCAATGATATGGGAACATCACCACCACCAAGTTCCTCTGTAAATCACACACCATCCTGACGTAGACAAACATTGTCCTCTTTCATCATCGCTTGGTCAAAATCCTAGCATTCACCACTGAAATGCTCCGTGTGCTTTAGGAAGCGTTCTGAGACATTCCCCCCAGTGATATAAATGCAAGTTGTTGTTGAACAACATTGTAGAAACACCATTGCCACACAGACTGCAGTGTGTTAAAGAGAAAACCCATCACCACAACTTTCTTAGGAAACCTCAGGGTGGGCAGTAAATGCTGGCCTTGCCAGTGTCACCTACGTAGCAAGACAGAGTTAAAAAGAAATGTCGGCATCTGCATCATTTAGATGTTGCCTGGTTTCCCAAGAAGATGGTGCTGGGCCTTCTTTGTAAAGTGCTGTGCTTTGAGATGTGACCCCACTTGAAGGGTGCCAGATAAATTCAAAGTTGTTGATTTATGCATTGTGGTGCTTCGGTTTGATTCTCTCTTGTGGTAAACTTCTGCCAGACCTTTCACAGAACCGTTTGCAGTTCACGAACGGCTGAAGCAATGTCTTTGTATCATCCCTTGAGAAAAATGCATCAAGAACCTGGTTGTGTGCCAGTTCAAATAAAATCTCGCAAGTGATAATATTATTTCAAAATGTGTATTTGAAAATGATGGTTAACAAAATGATGCGGGATAAATATGATGCATACAAAAATAAACTGCTTGTGAGCTGGAACTTCATCCACAAAAAAAATACACACAGTCAAATACTTTACGAATCTTGTGAACAGCTTGGAGACATCTCAACAATTTGATAAGTATTATTATACCTTTGTAACTGGTTAATATTAATGGCTGGTGAGGTACTTTGGCCATAATCTATCTCTGGAATTTCTCAGTTTGGTTTGGAAACTCTTAAGCATTGCAGTGGGTTTCCACATGTGTCGAAAAAATAGTTAATCAGTGTTATTTGTTGTGGGGAACCATCAAGCCCATTGTGCATCTCTCTACGTGTGTTTTCCTACACCTCCCCTCCCCACTGACCAACCCTCCTGATCCCAACCACCAGCTGGTATGAGGATCCCTGACTGTCCAGCGCTTTGGGATGACTTCCTGACGTGAAAGGCGCAATACAAATATAATTTGTTGTTTTTTTCTAGACCATCTCTAAAACAAAATCAAACATTCAGTACAATCCTGCCTTCTTTTCATTTAAAAAACACATTTCACCATTTCGGAGATAAGTTCACCTCTATCCTCATTTTAGCAAGAATACCTTGTTTTCTTCCATGCTGTGCTATTACAGCATGCTACCTGACTTGATCTGACAAATGTCTCTCTCATACCCCCTCCCTTGCTTTTATTTCATTCAGCTTCATTTGATGTCAGCTGACACACTCGGTAGCATTGTTGCTTGAGTCCCCACCTTGAGACTTCAACTCACATAGTCTGGGCTGACGATTGAATGCAGTGCTGGGGGTGTGTTGCATTGTCAGGGTGCCGTCCTTCAGATGAGACGATAAACTGAGGTTCGGTTTGCCTGATCAGATAAATGTTAAAGATCCTGTGGAAAGACTCGAAAAGAGAAGGGAATTTCTCGTGGTATCATGCCCCCCCCCCCCCCAAATAAAATTGGGCCTTCGTTTCATGGCTGTTTGCGGGGCAATGCTGTGTGCAAATGAGCAGCCGCGTTGGTCTACAAAATACACAGTCACTACACTTCTTACTAAACCCTTGAAGCACTTCAAGATCCTCATCCTCACCTACAAGGCCATTCACGGCCTTGCTCCCTCCTACCTCTCCAACCTACTATCCCCCTACCTACCTGCCCGTACCCTCCGTTCCTCCGGCTCCGGTCTGCTCCACGTCCCCCGCCCCAATCGCCCTACCATTGGTGGTCGGGCCTTCAGCCTCTCAGCCCCGAGGCTCTGGAACTCTATCCCCCAGTGCCTTCGCCTTGCCTCCTCCCTTTCCTCCTTCAAGGCCGGTCTCAAAACCTTTCTCTTTGACCGAGCCTTCAGCTCCCCTCTCGACTCTCTTCCCCTTCTCGCTCCCTCCCATCCCTCCCCTCACCCTGACCATTTCCCCCCTCCTCGCTCCCTCCCCTCCGCTCACCCTGACCATTTCCCCCCTGCTCGGGTCATGACCCAACTGTGCAGTGCCTTGGGACGTCCTCCTGACGTGAAAGGCGCTTTATAAATGGAATCTTGTTGTTGTTGTTGTTGTTCAAGACGTCCTCCAGAAGTGAAAGGCACTATATCAAATACAAGGATTATTATTAATTTATTCCATTTTAAAGGCATAGGCATGTCTAATTAAGCCACTTTTCTCTGGTTCAGTTTAAACATTTTTGGGGTTAATTTCTACCTCTCTCACAACGCACTCTCTATATTATATCAGTCACAAATTCAGCCAGTTTTTGATGGAGGAACATCTTTGGAACAGAGTTGTAATGTAAAATTGCATCAATGAATACAAATTCAGGTTGATTCCCCAAGTGTAAATAGAAGTATTTGAAAATATATTAGGTGCCATAACAACAGGGTGCAGCTGGACACAATCCGTTAAGAAAAGACAGATGTCTCATGAATCTGAATGAGAACATAGAAAGATTGGGAGCGGATTACTTACCTACCAATAGGGGATGTTGCAGATTTCTTACAAGCTGGTGAATGTTCCAGGAACCATGTTTCAGCAAATGACGATTAATTCATTGTTTAAATTTCTGGAATAATGACAAAAATCAGATCCAAAATTGAAAGAATGAAAGTAAAAAAACAAATGTAGAAAGCAAAAACCAATCAGAAAAAAAGTGTTTGGAAGATAAAGGTATGAAATGAAAGAAGGAAAAAATGCTGGATACATATGAAAGAGATTCACCATGGGAGGAAACGTCTTCCCCAAAAATGATAGACTAATGATGGATAATGATAGAAAGAGGAGAAATGGGTCATTGTGTGAACTTTAAATTAAGATGAATTACAGGACAAAGGAACGTAAGATTGCTGATTAGTATGCATACTGCAATCAAGCTGGTTATTAATACAAATAATCCTTGCATTTGATATAGCGCCTTATCATGTCGTCGAGACATGTCAAAGCGCTTCATATAATATATTGTAAAGCAGATTGACTGTGTATTTTGTGGGTGGAACAAGGCAGCCAATTGCGCACAGCAGTGTCCCACAAACAGTCGTGAATTGAGAGACTTCTTTTTGAGGGATTAACCCCTAGAAAGCGACCTGCCAATCGACTAACAACCGGGTTTCTAATTATATTCCTCTAATTAATGTGAGAACATTAATGTCACATTTTATTTTTCCTTCTCCAGGAAATTGTACTTGTGGTGTTTTTTGGTGTAGAATATATGGTACGGCTGTGGTCTGCAGGCTGCAGAAGTAAATACATTGGCATCAAAGGGAGGATTCGGTTTGCCAGAAAACCAATTTCAATTATAGGTAAGGATTTCATCTGTTTATGTTTTTTAAAAAAATAGAGGTTAGCTTGGCTCACGTCGTAGTACTCTTGTCTTTGAGTCAGAAAGTTGTGGGTTCAAGCTAGGTGGACATTTCAGTATAATGCTTGGCAGGGGGGAATATTGCATTGTCAAATGTGCTGTCCTTTGGATGAGATGTTAAACCAAATTTCTGACTTACCAGAAAATTTTAGAGGAGAACATTATTCAATCCCAAGCCTCTAAACACACAGGATCATGAAATGGAATTGACTGATGAATTATCTGCCTGCCATTCAGTGGTAGTGAACATTTTCCTGATAGCATTGAACTGAATGACACCCGACAAAATGGTCTGAATTCAGTGATGTGGAAGGACTCACAAATCGACTGCGCTGTTTGCCCAATTTGCCACGGTTTCATATCAGTTTGAAACGTGGAGGTCCAAGCACATAACAGATGTGATGGGCAAAATTTGATTGGATCCGCACAGCTACCTTGATGGATGGTGGATTAATGAAATGGAACGGAATTAGAGTAACATTGGCAGATAATTGCAGGCAGGACATCTGGATGCTGGTATGTTGTGTGTGGCCAGAGGGAGAAAAATAACTAGTAGCTCAGGGTGTTATTTGTACCTTGCTAAGAAACATGCTATCTGTCCTTTTTTATGAACTTGGATAAAATACAAGCAAAACTTTACTTTGTGATCCTAAAATTATTCTCAGTGCTGAATAGGTTTTGAATGTTACTACCAACATACAGGGAAAAATTCCGATTGGGTCTAGAATTACTCCATTATTGTAGCATTTCAGAGTATCCAGAATTTGTCAAATTTTTAAATACTGCCTTAATATGGAACAGGTTTTTTGTAATTTGTTTTGAGATATATTTTAAAAAAATTAAGACTGAATTCACAATTTATCAAATATTCCGGTACTCTAAAATGCTATGTTAATTGTGCAATATAGAACCAGGTGGAATTTCTTCCAAATAATGTGTTACAGTGATAATTTCCTACATTAGAACCTATTAAATGTGAAATGTATTACATTTTTTTCTGGTTTTGACCTGCAGATCTGATTGTAGTGATTGCGTCTATTATAGTACTCAGTGTTGGATCAAATGGCCAGGTGTTTGCCACATCAGCTATCAGGTATTATTTTTACATATACCTTTGGAAGTCATATTGACTAAGCAAAATAGATCAAATTGTAAAATTGTGTGATTCCAAAAGCAGGATTGGGTAGTGGACTTTGAGATCATGGGGTCGAACCTACATTGTTCGGTAACGTTATTGAATTTTTATTCCATGCTTATAATGGGATTATCAGGGTCCATTGTCACTTTGAACAGAATGGAGGTGGATCATGACAGTGTTACCGATGGTGAAGGCCAAGAAACCAAATCAGCAGTGTTGGACATCTGGCTTGTGGATTGTGGCTTTCAATGGCTGGTTGGAAGGACACCTGCTGTTTTACAAACAGAAAGCAGATAAAGCTGCTATCCCACTAACCGTAGTCAAATGACCAGTATACCTTCAGCTCATTTATTAAAGATGCTGGTGTAAGTTGAGTTACTGTACATGTGCAATAATTTTAAATTTTTAAAAAAATATTTTCTCTTTTCAGGGGAATTCGTTTCCTCCAGATCCTTCGGATGCTGCATGTAGATCGTCAAGGTGGCACTTGGAGACTTCTCGGATCAGTTGTTTTCATTCATCGGCAGGTGTGTAGTACATCCCTATAAGAAGTAAAAGGACAAATAAGAAAAAGTCAATTAAGCAGAAGCCGGAAGCGTAAAAGGATCCAGGGAAGGGATCCGGGTTTGGAGAACTGGGAGCTGAGGATAAAGGAATTACTTAATACACCAATGATGTGGATTGAGAATCATTATAAGATATGGCCTTGAGTGCTCATAGTGCTCATAGTAAGAGGACAGTGCTCCTCAAACATTTGTATTGATTTGTATACTTTTATTCTTACTTCATTTGTTCTATCCAAATGCATTGTTGGAGATGTCATCCTTCGGAGGAAATGAATGAGCTGCTCAGGTGGATGTTAAAGATCCCATGGCACTACTTGAAAAGAGCAGGGAGTTTCTCCTGGTGTCCTGGCCAACAGCTCCTGAGGAAATGGAGGAGGTTGAAGATAGGGAAAGATTGACAAATGGGGGAAAAACCTGCAACCATCTCCTAAAAGAAAGGAACCTGAGACAAACAAGGCCAGAAAGGAGGGAGACACTTACTTTGTAAACCAGAAATTTCTGTGTGAACTTGCACTTACTATGAAATTTGGGTTTTCATTTTAATGATCTCATTTTCTGATCCAAAATTTCTGCAGGAAACTATTCAACACAACTGTGGACACATTGTCTGGATGTCTGTGTGGTGTATTGGCAGGAATGTACTAGGTGTTTCGGGCACAATGGTTTTCTTTAGCTGCTGTGCTGGAGACTAAATTCTTCCACAAACAGCACCTGATGGACCAGAGACACTTGGTAGAGAGTTTTGTCTGTGAGCAAACTACGGAAAATAAAATAACAAATTGGATGGATTTCCACCTTTTAATGCTTGATGCAATAAATTTAAGAATTTTACTTCCACAAATGCATCCCAAATCAGCATATTTTAGAGCAAAACGATTCTGTTCCTCTTAAAGTTTACAGATTTGAGGTCCAGAAATGATTATTCATCCTAAAGGAACAATTAGACAGTCTATGGATCTTCAGTTTTGAGAGAACACATCTCAGAGTACATTAAAGAGGTTTATAACATTTTAAATGGTATAAGTAAACTAGAATGATAATTTATGATGCACCAACACACGAGAACAAGAGGACATGTGTTTAGAGATTAAACAGGGCAATTTCAGGACAAGCACCAGGAAGTTTTTCTTTACCCAGAGGATAATTAGCGACGGGAATAAGTTGCCAGGATGAGTGGTTATTTATTTCTAAAAAATAGCTTGATGCTGTGATGGGAAAATGCAGCTCCCTGTGTAAAACTGGTACCAGTCTGCAGTCACTATTAATTGAGACAGACCTCAAATTGCCTAATAACCAGTAGTTTATCATATCTCAGCAGCAAATGCATTCCTACCTCAAAAGCCAATCACAGCAAATAATGATGGTTTTCACAGCCATGTCAAATGTTACATCACCAACTAACCATATTTAAGCGGAAAAAAAACTCTTTATGTAAAATGATCACTTGCGTGGGAGTTAATTATTGGCTGTAATATACTCCTAAATTCTTGTTGCCTTTACAAAAATAAATGACCTAGGTTCCAGGTAATGGATATTCCAGAGTCCCATATTTCTCAATGTAAAAATCAATCTTGAAAAGTATAAATTAATATTCAAACATAACCTGTAAAGCTCCTTCCAATAATAAGCATGAATGTGTTTATGTTGTACACCTCAGTTGTTTGTACACTAATTCTTGAGCAACAACATAGATGATAACAAATGTATAATGACAAAACTAGTAATATATTTAAATAATTTAAATAATTTAGCAATTATTTATCAAAGTATTGCATAATAAAACATTTTATTTGTTATTTGGCTGCCTTGTTGCAACTAATTTGAATTGAAATTATTTTAAGAATCATTAAAATTCCATTTTATAATTGACGCATTCAATGCAAATTTTAATTTTTGAACTAAAATCAATCTGATCAGCTATTCAAACACAGATGTCGCAACCTGAGAGGTTTTGGGATATGATTTATAATCGCGTGAGTCGGCTGAGCTGGTAACTCACGTGTTAGTCATGAGTGACTTATAATCAGCTCCACAAGTGCAATGCAGATTGCACTCCACAGTTTCTAGTCATATATTTTGTTTACAGTAGGTTAGATAAATTCTTAGAATAATAAATGATTAACCATCATTTTCAAATATACATTTTGAAATAACATTATCACTTGCGAGATTAACTTTAGAGGAGAGCAGTATTGAAGTACAGTTTGCAGACACATAGTAATAGTATCACTTTGACAGTCTTGTTTATTTGCTCAATGTTTTTTCAGTCAACGTGTTGTCTATTGTCTCAGATGCCATGTCATCATCGTGAAGTATAAAAAAACCCTCAGATTGTTGTGTCTCATTATTAAATAGTTACAATCTATTATTGTGGCAATTAATGATAAACATGTATATTGTAGTTCACAAAACAAATGACATAGTTATAGTTATCCTGTGTTTCTTTAACCCTAAAAAGGTTATATCTTAAAAAAGTTTAAAGCATCTATGCTTGGAAATTGTAGATTACTTGCAGCTGCTATTTCTGAGTCAGCCTTGAGTGGCCCAAAGGTTCAGATGACTAAGTAAAGAATGTGAGGGTCACATTATTCCAAACCAAATTGAACAGTCCCTTAAAAGCACAGGTGTGCATGTGAGTGAACGCAAACTCGTTTGCTTTAGCTGTCAAGGCTTTAATGGAAAATTGGGCACTATGTTTTTTTATATGTAAACTTTTACACTGTAACACAATTAATCTAGAGCTACATCTAATTTTAAACTTTATGCTAGAATTAGCTTTAATGTCTGCATTGAATTAAGTTGCTGTGATCGATTGTGTCCCATAGTTGGTTGGTTTAATTGCAGTGTTATGCAGTAATCCTATTGTAAGGTGTTTGCTCATGAGTGAAGTTTCTTCCTCCCATTAGAACACCTGGAAACCTGGGAAAAAATAACACCAAACAATAATTCGGTCATTGTGATCACAGGAAATTAAAAATGTTTCTGATCCTGGATTTCATTAGATTATGATCAGTTTTCAAAAGAAACTAGATATTCCTGGAAGGGGGTTGCTTATAACATTTTACGATGATCAACTGAATGATTTAACAGCTACGGTAGATATAACTGATTTGAAATGAAAACCTGCTGTCTTGGATATTACGAATTTGAATTGCTACTGGCTCAGTTTTATTTTCTGTCGGTTTCTCTTTCTATTTATTTTCTCTATCTGTTTATTTGCACTTTGAAACGATTTGGGGAATTTGTACTTTTATGAATATTATTTTCTCTCTCTATGCCAAGGTTCTTCCAGGCCAGGCATAGTAAATGTTAGATGCACAGTCACTGGACTTTATAGTGTATCTTGTGAAGCACTTTAAGTTGTGCTCCTGACGTGATACAAGTTCTGTGTCAAATGCAAGGATTATTAAGGTAATTTTCACATTACGTAGCCCCAGCAATCTGCCTCAATTGCACACCTCAGAGAAACTCATCCTCATTGATCAGTTTGAACCATTCTTTTAACCTTCTACGTTTGTGACTATGAAATGTTCATTTCAGGGGTAAATTAACAGCTGGTTTGTGTTGAACACCAATTTTCACTTGGAACTAGGTTGAATTCCAGTTGACCAGAGATCAGAACAGAAGAAACATTATGGCCTTCAGAGAGAGAAATATAGTATTTATTCTGTGTAGGTTAAATTCTAACACGTGTCCAGTGAAATATTGCCCTTATGTAATTTTACCTTTGTATTGGTAGACATTTTTTACTATCCCTTTGTACCCAGAATGTCAGGAAGTTGCAAATAAGCTTTGGTAGTTGATAATCTAGATTCACAATTATTATAATCACAGGATCATAGAAATATTGCTGAACTATTGCAAGCATTCTGATCCATTTCTTCAGCAAATGTTCCCAGAAACAATTGCTCCAAAATTCAAAATTGTTCTTTTGTCAAGCTGCTTTATTCAGTCATCTATCAGACGAGGTAAAACTACATTAATGATTGCATGGTTTCTGTTTGTTTTGCAGGAACTTATAACAACACTGTACATTGGATTTCTGGGACTTATCTTTTCTTCCTACTTTGTGTATCTGGCTGAGAAAGATGCAGTTGATCAGGACGGTAAAACTGGCTTTGGAAGTTACGCTGATGCCTTGTGGTGGGGTGTGGTGAGTTCATTATATTCATATAACAGTGTTGATTACATTCTTACCCAAACTGGAGAATTTAGGCAAAGAACAGTATGCTATCTTTGAAAAGTTTCAGTGATTATATTTTGCTTTCTTAAAATAAATCGCATCAGCTGCATGAAATCCATCTTTGGAATGATAGGTCTCATTTAATCTGATCAAACCCACAGTCATTGTTTTAAACCAACCATTAAGAACTTTTAATGAACTGAACCATGTATTGGAACACCAATTGTAGAGATATCAGTTCTGCAGCAAATCCTAATTTGAACTCCCCACTTGTCCCAGGGCTACGTCTTTTTTATAAAATAGCTCCCAGGCAGGCTTTTGAATACGGGGGAAAAAAATTAGTCTCTATAATCTACATTCATGCGCTTCACTGATTTTTGTTTTGGTTACTGTTTTGTAGGTAACAGTTACAACAATTGGATATGGTGACAAAGTTCCACAGACGTGGATTGGAAAGACAATAGCATCTTGTTTCTCTGTGTTTGCTATATCATTCTTTGCACTTCCAGCAGTAAGTGAATTGTTAACAACAAATATTTTTAATGTATATTTCTTCAAAAGAGGACAACCGAATATTTTTCTTCACTCATGTGGTAATAAATAAATTCAGCGAGGTGATTGTCCCCCATCCAAAGTCAATAGAGAAACAACAACAACAACAACACAATTTCATTTATAGAGTGCCTTTCACGTCGGGAGGACGTCCCAAGGCGCTGGACAGTTGGGTCGGGACCCGAGCAGGGGGGAAAAGGTCAGGGTGAGGGGAGGGAAGGGAGGGAGCGAGGAGGGGGTAGGGAGTCGAGAGGGGAGCTGAAGGCACGTCGAAGAGAAAGGCAATCTCCCTCACTTAACGTGTGCTGTGCGTTTTGTAAACTGCACTTAATGTGCTGATTCAACATGTATGTCCACAAATAAACAAGAGAGTAATTTTGAGGGTCGTCAAAGTAGAGACAAGTAGGGAGAATTTCTATCTGGGTATACATTTAGAACATCCAGAATTTAGCAAATTGTTGAATTATGAAGTCGATTTTCTATAGTTCTTGAAAGAACTTTGGCTTCAAAATGTATTTAACAATTTGCCAAATTCTGGATGCTCTAAAATGTCATGTAAATAAAGTAAAACTGGACCCAGGTGGATTTTTTCCCCAAAGCTGCTTTCTCTCAGGTCGAAAGAGTTTGTCAAACTCAGCATAGCTCTGAATAAACAATTGCAGAAGCCTATTGATAGGTTGGCTAGCTGCTCTCTCAATTGGAGTGTGGTGTATTGAGAAGAAATATATTTATTTAAGTGTAAAATTGGGGTAAATAGCATCTGTTGTATAAATGTTGTTTGAACACTCAGTATTAATTGAATTCCCCCCACCACACAGACCCACTTTTTTAATGCTTCATTCGTGTTTACTTGTTAAACTAACCAGTTGGATAAACAATGAACACCTCATTATTTACTAAAGACAGGAATCTGACAAACGTCTAAAATTGTCCTAAACTCTTATTTCTAAAAATCTAAAAGCAACTTTGTTCAGATCTCTATGTGTGAATAGGTGCAGAATCCCACACCAATCTTTCTAAATTGATTCCTGCACTTTATATACACTAGGTAGATATGCAAATACCATTCAAGACAATCTGTTAACTGCACAAGATCAGTGTATTGCAACTGATTGTTTTATTTTTGAAATTTCATTATGTTTCAGTATTCATTTAGGGAATTAGTATTAAGCTGTAATGTTCCAGCAGTGGAGCCAACACCACCATAGGCTCAATGGGTTGAGTGGCCTCCTTTTATGTTGTCATTGCTATAGGAGGTTTCTAAAATTTATTGTATCAGAAATTAACCACTTGGTTTACAAAAGAATATTAATGTGTACGAAGAACAATTTCACCTTGACGTTCAATAAGCATGTTTTTTTTCAAGGGTATCCTAGGATCTGGATTTGCTCTTAAGGTCCAACAGAAACAACGTCAAAAGCACTTCAGTAGACAAATTCCTGCTGCTGCTTCCCTCATTCAGGTATGCTTTTTTTTCTAGCATGATGTATGGTATTAACGAGAATCATTAGAGAATAGAATTGATGCACTGTATTGCATACAGTTCACAAGAGAAATAAGTTGCCGGTAAATCTGTTATGCCAATTGTGTTGGGCTAAAAACGTTGCTTCTCAAACTGGGGAAAATATCAGTAATATGTTTGTGGCAGTATAGACTGTTCCATACATTTAGTTCAGTGGCCTCTAATTTATTGAAGTAGGAGCCTGGGACAGATTTCCATTTCTATGTTGCCTTGAGAACTGAGATTAAGGAATGGTTGGAACAAGGAGAACGTATCTAGCTTAGTTCTTCCACATACCACTCACAAATTGTAGGATAACAATAAACTTTGCATTTGATATAGCGCCTTATCACATTTTCAAGACGTATTAAAGTGCTTCACAGAATATACTGTAAAGTGAATTGACTGTATATTTTGAGACTGTTTAACAACAACTTGTATTTATATAGCACCACTCACGTAGAATGGCATCTCGGCAGCTGGTAACATCTCAGAAGTTTTAAGAAATCTTCCTTGCCTTCCTTAATGCTATTTATTCCTTTAGTATTAGTGACTTTCTCACAAATCTTGATATCGTTGGCACATTTTAACATGTTATCCCCATGTGAACTTCGATTGCTATAAAAAGCTTAATACTTTTTCCAGGTTATATTTTTATCTGGTTTCAAATTCTGCTTATTACCACCTATCATTGGCAGCTACTAAAATAATCAAGTACAATACAAATTTATATTTATATAATGCCTTTCACATTGGGAGGATATTCTCCTATAACTCCTATTTACACATTTGATTGGAATAAAAGAAATACCTCATCGTTCTACATTTTTTTAATTGTACTCAATAATCATCATCACAAGAAATTTGTAGAAAATTACTTGTGCGGGTGTTGTAAAATTGGAAAGGATTAATTTAGATTTCAGAGAGATATGTTAAAGTTTGCTTCCAAGGGATCCATTTAATTTCAGACTTTCGCTTATAAGTAAATATATCAGTTCAGCTGCTCTGAAGCCGTAGTCATTTGGTCAAATTCATCCGTTTGGAAAAGGACATTGCAGCTTTCACACAAATCATTGTTAATTATTGAAACAGAATGTTGTAAAAACACACAAGGGTTTTGGCCGCATTGATTATGTGGAATGGAAACTTACAATTCATAATCTGAACCATGCGTAACGTAAAGGTTACTTTTCAGCAATTTTAAAAAAAAATTGGCACGCAACCTTCTACTTTCACACATTTTTGTTCCGTTAGGAAATGAGCAACTTGATTTAAAGTCTGCAAGTGCTTGAGTTCAATCTTGTGTGTATTGGCTAGCTTAGGTTATGTTCTAATTTTTGGTTTACCCACCAATCATTCTTAGCAAGGACTTTATAGTATGAATCACAGCTGTTGGGTTTTGCATGTTGTGCTCTCGGTCTTACTTGTATTTTGGCAATCTGAAGACCTTACAATAACTCACGAAATATAGAATATCAAGAACAATTCCACATGTGCCCTTTTTACCCGTCTTGTTTTAGTTTTCATATATTGAAGGTATTTGTTGGCAATTGCGTTCTAAAGCAGAAAAGGGCTTTTATAAATATGTGAACCAGCCAGCACAGACATGATGGGCCGAATGGCTTCCTTCTGTGCTCTATAATTCTTTGATTCTATGATTCAGAGCTTAGAAGTAACTTTTATAAATGCCCATTCTAATTTCCCATATGTGTATTCATTCTACTTTCTGGATAGAAAAAACGCTATTCACCTCATCACTCCATACAGAAACTATGCACAATTCATGCTTTAGCATCTCGCTCACTGAAACTCTTGAGGCAACGTTCTGCATCAATACTACCTTATACTCAAAGGACAGTTGAGAAAAGCTCCACTTGCCCTTGAAGTACATAGAAACAGAATTCTACAGCACAGAAGGAGGCCATTCAGCCCATTGAGTTCACACCGACTCACAGAGCAATGAGATCAATTAAATCCCCCAGGACTGCTATATCCCTTCAAGCTCCTCTCTTTGATATATTTTCATAATCCTCATATTGATTTCTATCTCATAGAGCATTGGGATCAAAGCAGCTTGAATTACTGGAACTAAAGTCTTGACAAATAATGTGCTTTTTATAGACCCTATGGAGATGCTATGCCGCAGAGAAATCCCATAGCTCCACAGCTACATGGAAGATATATGTGATGTCTCCTAATCATTACAGCAAAACCTCAGCAGCGCCATCCAGTCCAAATGTGAGAAAACAGGTAACTAATACTATTCCCTGTGTTGATGCAATGGGCTATCACAGTTCACAATTATAACAACAACAACTTGGATTTATATAGCGCCCTCCACGCCGATGGTGTCTCAGAGCGCTTTACAGTAATGGATCCCAGGACTAAGCCAGGGGGAGGGGGAGGAAGGTGACCAAAGAATCAGTTGAAAAGAAAGGTCTTCAGCAGAGACCTGAAAATGGAAAGGGAGGGAGCGAGGTGAAGGGAGTGAGGAAGGCAGTTCCAGAGCCTTGGGGCATAGTGGCTGAAGGCACGGCCGCCGAGGGTGGAGCAGAGGACTCGGGGGATTAGGAGGAGGCCAGACCCGGAAGCACAAAGGCAATGGGTGCTGTATTGAGGAGAGAGGAGGTCAGAGAGGTAGGGGGGTGCATAGGAGTGCAGGGACTTGAATACAAGGGTGAAGATCTTGAAATCGATCCTCTCTGGGATAGGCAGCCAGTGCAGTCTGGCAAGGACTGGGGGATTGGGGAGCGGAGTTTCATGCGGGTGAGAATGCAGGCGGCACAGTTTTGAATGATTTGGATTTTACGGATGGTAGTGGATGTGTTTAATGATAAACTGTGATTCTAAAGCAATTTGTCAGTAATGATTTGAATAAATGAGATCAAATAATTTCATTTATGTATGTTTCACATATCCATATAGTACAGCAGGTATTTTTATTTATTATATATACACACTAGCTGTACACGTTGCAGCTATGCTTGCAACCAGTGCTTTGGGACGTCCTCCCTACGTGAAAGGCGCTCTATAAATGTAATTTTGTTGTTGTTGTTTAATCGGCCTTCTTTCTTTTGTCTGGCATTCTTATTTGTCCTTGAAAGGCTTGATCTTCACTTCTTAGGCATTTTTATCCCTTAAGATTAAGAAAATATGCTATTGAACTCATTAGCATCACTTGTTCACATATTTGCACACATATCCTTTTAGGAGGTCCCCCCAGGGGGGGGGGGGGGAGGATCCCCCCAGGGGGTGGGTTCCATACATGTGTGATGAGCTTGATCCCCGAAAAAAATATGCCATGACACTCTCCCATGCAAGACCTTTCCGATGAGGTATAAATCATGTCTCTACATCAATTAGTTATTGTGTTATTGTTGGACAGACAGATGTTTCATGTTTATTAGTGTAGATGTATCTCTCCAGAAGTGTGTATGATTTTCTCGGTCGCTGCTTTGTTACAGAATACCGTGCATACCTTTTTGGGAGTTTAATTAAAGCATTTTTTAAATATAGCTCATCAACAATAGGAGATCGCCCCCAAAAAAAAAATATGCCCAGGACACTCCCCCATGCAAGACCTTTCTGATGAGGTATAAATCATGTCTCTTTGACAATCGGTTATTGAGTTCTTGGTGGACAGACACACAGACATTTTGTTTTTATTAGTATAGATATATATAAAAAAAGGATCATTTGTAAATATTTTCTCTCTTGTGCACAATCATTTTTTACGTTAGACATTTTAATTGTGCAAAGTAAGACATTTGAAAAATGTAAGTTCCAGGGCTGCCTTTCACATGAATACGGTTGAGCTACATTCCATCAGAAGGAAGTGTAGCTAATGTCTGTCTCACCTCACAAGAACTGCATGATCTGTTAATAATAATAATAATAATAATAATCCTTGCATTTGATATAGCGCTTTTCACGTCAGGAGGACGTCCCAAAGCGCTTCACAGAACACACTGTAAAGTGAATTGACTGTATATTTGTGGGCGAACACGGCAGCCAATTGCGCACAGCAATGTCCCACAAACAGTCGTAGATTGAAAATGACCAATTTATTATTGTTTTGGTTTTGGAGGGATTATTATTAGGCTGTGTGGAGTAAGGAAACTTGCCCAAGGTTTCGCCTTGCCTGGAATTGAACTCAGGTCTCCCGCTTGCAAAGCGAGTGCTCTAACCACTGAGCTACAGGACTCCACTGTTGGCCAGTCATCACACAATGATACTAATGGTGGTTGTGCAGAATCCTGTAGCTCAGATTATCCCATCCTCCCAGCTGGAGGAAGCTCATCCATGGTGGATAATGGATTGAAAGAGAGGAAAGAAAATGTTCCAAGGAGGAAAATGGGGTTTGTTGTTGAGTCAAATATACACTCCAAACAGGTCAACCATTAGATCAGAAGAAGACAAATATGATTTGTAGGCATCAAAAGCCATTCAGGCTTTTGAAACCTTTTCCCATGGGGTTTACTGTTTTAAAAACCATTGTCCGAAGGGATGCATGTCATTTAATATTCGCAGATGAGAAGATTGGTTGGGAAATAGAGAAAAGTACATGAACCCTGGTATGATACAACATTTATGGAACAAGTGAGGAACACCAGATAATGCTTCAATTTTCTTTAGTCAGATTTGTTGCAGTCTACACTCGGGCCACAATTGGTTCTCATCTGAAAGGCAGGTGGAACAACCTGTATCAAAATGTGGACTGCAGTAATTTGGCTCTAACATAGTAGTTGAGAATGCACTAGTGATAACACACACTGAGCTCATAAAGGACGGGGATGATGAACTTATAGTTACTAAATATTTATTTATGCTTTGTATGTATTTATATTTATTTATGCTTTGACATCTTTCAGACCTTTAATTAATGACATTGAATGTTATTACAGTGCATCCGTTTTTCACTTCTCATATTTTTTCATAAACCCAGTGATACCATTGCTACTGTGCTCCACATAAACCTCGTCGTACTATTGACTGGCACAGTATTAAAGCCATATTTACTTTGATGTGCTGCAAGTTAAATGTGCTGCTAACAATTTAGACCCTGAGTGGAAGAATTATACATTTGGTGGTGTATTTTCAACCGACTGTGAAATGTTTAATGTTACCCTAAACGTTTGCTGTGAAACATCTGGTACTTTCTGAAGCTTAATTTGGATTTGTGTGTTTTATTTTATGTGTGTAAGATTTGTGCTACCAAAGTTTGTGCAAAAACTTTAATTTGAAAATTGTCCAATAAGTATAGAAATAAGAGTTAGATTTTTCTTATAATTTCTAACATTTTAATCATTTTTGCTGAGCACTTTTTTCCTCCCCTCTTTTCTCAAGCACCGTTCTCTATCTCACGCTGTCAACTTAATGGAATGCTTGCCTGTGGCAGCATTGCTCTTAATGGCTGTAAGGAACTGTAACTAAGAATGTTTAAGACACGACTTGTACAATGTAGATTATTTTCAAACTGGTGCAACAAATACGTGCTAACTTTGTGGACAGTTACAAACTTTAATGCATCAGAAATGTCCTACCCCAAAAGTGCACTGCGTTATCAGCTTGTGCCAAGACCAATACATTGTTGAGGGGAGGGGAGTGGTGGTTTGTCAGGCACAGAACTCCACGACTGTGCACAAGAGTATCCAAACCAGATTGAGAATTCCACATATGCATGCCACCAATGCATGGAAATTAGCTTTGTCTGCTTTGCTAATTCTAGAAAGTATTAGGTGCTGGTCTGCAAGAAGAGGACGTCCTCCTGACGTGAAAAGCGCTATATCAAATGCAAGGATTATTATTATTATTATTATTATTAAGAGTGTGCTGTGGGGTATTGCTGGAGGTTAGCCAGAAGAAACTGCGTCGCTTGCCATTGTGAAAATTGTCTGGGAAAAGTTACACTGCTTGTCCATGCCCCCAGTGAGTGATCTGCCCTAACAGATGTCCTGCCGATGAGCCAAGATGGCTGGTTCTGTCACCAACAGTGCCTGGAGTATAGGGGTAGTGTTTGCCCCGTGGGAGCCCATGCAAAGCTCGATTCAGGGGCTTGAGTTCCTCAGTTGCCAGGAAACCACAACTGAAAAAGGAAAAGAGTCCCCAGACCACTCAACTTTATGTCCCACCCCAGTGGTGAGCCTATTGACTGAAGGGCAACCAGTCTGGGCACTGTAGCAATAGTTTGATGAACGATCAACAGTTCATCAGATCCCCCACCCTCGTCCGGCTCCACTGGCTCCTCATCCCTCAGAGGATAGAATTCCTCCACAGCCTTGCTGCATATTGGCTGCAGCAAAGTGTCTATTGTGCCACCCATACCCCACCCCTGCAGGTTAAGATGGCGGGAGACAATTTCAATGGGTTTTCGGGGTGGAGTGGAGCCTAACTTCCTCAGGTTGCTGGAATACTACAGGCTCCCCCACGCACCCTTCCCTACCCCCCGCACTGGCTCAGAAAACAAACTACAGAGACCACCACAAAGGTTCAACTTAATTCTGATATTCCATTGCGACACATATCATCTTGGAGCCAGCTGAGCCCTGAAGAGACCCTGTTTACCAAACCCCAAGGGGAATAGTCACTTGTTTGTTAATAAATTGCAAATGTTTTATTGTCTCCAGAAGAATTGCAGAATTGTGTACACGTGTAAATATTCATTAAAGTGAACTTAATGCTGCAGTAGGCAAGTTGTTAGAGATTGTTTTTCTCAGAAAGGAATCTGTTATTTTCACTAATTATTTCTCTTTGAAAATGACAACAGCAAAAAAGATACAAAAAAAATGCAAGCCAGGACGTGATAATGGGGGAGCAATCGTGATGAATACTGGAGAGAACGCACTCTCAGTTCCACAGATAACTTATGACCACATTGATGAAAAGGAAGACAAGAAGGAAATTACCTACTTTATTGATGAGCCAGCAGGTAATTTCCAGTTTTGTTTATCATGTAGCAAGTGTTAAAAAATACCTTCTTGTTATACGTGCTGACATTTTAGCAATTCCAGGTTTACAAAAATCGTTTGTACCGTTAAGGATAAACATGTGAGCATGTGCACTGTTGCAAGAGTTTGATGAACGATCAACACTTTATCAGTTCCTGCTGTCTACATATGCAAGAGCATCATTAAAACAAGCTCTATTTGGTTTGCATTTTGAAGAATTATAAAGTCGATGTGTCTATGTACTAGAAAATAGGTAATAGTTTCCTATTTCTGGATGCGGTGCCTAAAGTAAATGGAACATCTCTTACCAGTCACATTGCATGGCCAATATAGCATTCACTCCAAGTTGAAAAACACAGCCTCACTGCACAGTAAATGTGAACATAAATTGGACCTAAAAACATTTAAAGTACACAATGTTTTGTCTGTCCTGAAATAATAATGATCCTTGCATTTGATATAGCGTCTTATCACATCGTTAAAACAATTCAAAGCGATTTGCAGGATTTACTGTAGAGTGTAATGACAGTGTATTTGGTAACAAACACAGTAACCAATTTGTACATGCAATGTCCCACAAATAGCCATGAAGTAAATGACCAGTTTTATCTGGGGATTGTTGGCCAGGATACCAGGAGAAATTCCCTTCTCTTTCAGAATTACGCCACAGGATCTTTCACATCCAATTGAACAGACATGTATCTTGGTTTAGCATCTCATTGAAAGGATGTAACCTCTGCCAATGCAGTGTTCACAAAGCACTGCATAAGTGTTTCAGTCAAGAATCTGAGTTCAATGATAAACATGAGACTTCTGACTCACTCAGAGGCGAGATTTCTACTAACTGAGTGAGACTGGCACGTAACACAACAACAAGTTGCTTTTATGTAGCACCTTTCACATCGGTAGGCTGTCCCCAGGCGCTGGACAGTCAAGGGTTTATACCCAAATGAGAGTTGGGGGCCAAGGGGTTTGGGAGTGGGAAGATGACCGAAGGTGCATCTTCATTCAAAGAGGAAGGTCTTGAGATAGATCTTGAACCCTCACACATGCATTCATCCAGAACTCTGCAGCTTGTGTCCTCCCCTACACAGGGCTCCACCAGGTGATCCTATCACCCCCACCCTCCACTGGCTCCCCATCCCTCAGAGGATAGAATTCAAAATCCTCGTCCACACTTTGAAGGCCCTCCACAGCCTTGCCCCCTCCTACCTCTCTGACCTGCTGACCCCCCTATCAATCTGTCCGCTGCCTCCATTCAGCAAACTCTGGCCTGCTCCATGTCTCCCATTTGACCCACCCTAACATCGGCGGCCGGGCTTTCAGCCTCTCTGCTCCCAGCTTTTGGTACTCCATCCTTTCGCCTTGCTCCCTCCCTTGCCTCCTTCAAGGCAAGTCTCAAGACCCTCGTTTTCGACCATGCCTTCCGCTGCTCTCATACCTCTCTGCCCTCTGCCCTCGCTCATCCCAACCTCGGGTCCTGATCTCCGACTTTTCGCTCCACCGGGTCTGGCCTCCTTGTCCTCCAAATCTTCCGCTCCACCATCGGCGGCCGTGCTTTCAACCACTATGTCCCGAGACTCTGGAATTCCCTTCCTCACTCCCTTCACCTCACCCCCTCTCTTCCTATTTTCAGGTCTCGGCTGAAGACCTTTCTTTTCGACCACAATTTTGGTCATCTTCCTTCCCCTCCCCCTGGCTCGGCCCCGGGATCCGTTACTGTAAAGCGCTCTGAGACGTCGTCTGGCGTGGAGGGCGCTATATAAATCCAAGTTGTTGTTGACTGTTCAGAGCCTAGGGACGATCTCCCAACGTGAAAAGTGCTTCATAAATGTAATTTTGTTGTTCTTGTTGTTGATGTTGAGCGAGATTGAGGGAAGGGGCAAGGTGAAGCTAGATGGAGTTTCAGAGAGTCGGATAATCCTAATCCACTGTCTAAAAAATGTAACCCCAACTATTTTTCATTTTTGTACTTGTTGGGTAAAACAAATTGTTGAAGGATTTGTATTGCCTGAGGGAGTTTATTGTTGTCCAAGTCTATGTGGTAGATTCCTGAGTTTCCAATAACAAAGAAATTATGTTTTCCAACACTGAGGGTAGTTTGAGGATTATCTGGACTAATTGACCCAGCTGGAATGCTGTGATTGTAACCGATCAGATAAGATTTGTTTTGCATGTTTGATTAGTTTATCTTTCTGTGGGGTCATTTTGGTTGTTTGATTCCTGATTCAGTATTTAAATTTAAGTAGGTTTCTAATGCTATTTAGCTATGTTTTCATTGTCGAGACTTGCAAACAACAGCATTCGCCAATAACTGGGGAACAGCCTAAAAAGTCCTTAGTCTGCTAATGATATTGTTCGTTTCCACCAAAAACTCAGTTTAGTGTTAGTATAAGCATTGCAAAACCTAACGATGTGCAGAAAATATTCATTTTATATTCCCATTTTGAATCAGATAGAATCAATTAAGAGCCTCTGGGACCCTAGGTTGTTTTTGCACTTGATTTGGGAAGGAATTGTTGCAGTTCAAACAGTGTCCCCAAAATGTTTAATTTGATTGTGAGATTTGTTTGATAATGCTTTGAATAGCAGCAATGTTCATATTGTTTAAAAAAAAAGCATTTTACCCTTCTATTAAACAAGATTTGAATTTGATTGTAAATTGAAGTTTACGTAAAAGCAGTGATGATGTAACAAGGCCAATTCTGAAATCTAGAATTTTGCTTACTATTACCATCTTGGAAAATTAGAACATATCCATCTTATCCATAAATACATGAACACAATATGCAGGCTATATCTATAAAAAAATGTTCAGGCTATCTGCACACAGAAAACTTCTAATTACGCATTTGTACAAAATTGAACTAAAATCGTTGTTTTCTAGTGTTTCGTTGGCAAATATATCAGTTATTTTAGATACATGGACTTTTCTTGCTCGTTCATTTTCTACTGAAAGTCCTGATAACCGTTTTTGCTTCATTGTGTGAAGATAGTTTAATATCAATTTCAGTTTTGAAAAAGAGCGATCATTCTGCTGCCAATGGGCTGGGCCCCATCATCTTGTAGGCCCTGGCACGACTGCTCTACTTGCACATATGTAGTTCAGCCACTGAGTAAAAGGAACAGTTTTACTCATTCTACAGGGCAAATGTACTGTATTTTGAAGTTTGGTTGGGTGGGATCGGTTGTGATACTATCAGCAGGAAGCCCTGCCTCTTGCTGCCTGATCTTGATCTTGTTCAGTACTTCATTCACGGGCCTGTCCATCACTTCTTGAACTGAATGTGACCTTGCATGGCCTTGGAGTGCAGTGGATGAGGGGAATCAGACATTGAAGATTGATCAGCCATAGTCTAAACCATTAATTTAATTGAGGGGATATGAAAATAAAATGTGTTTCAAGATCAGGATTTTAGTTGTTGAAACAGATTGGTTGCAAAGAATCTTTATTTGCTTTAACAACATTCTTCAAAAATGCAAATAGAATGTTAGTTGGATGCCTTTGAGGCACATGTTACGTTTTTTTTATTGGTTTCTTAAAGGGTAGTTAAGTAATGTAAATAGCAAGAATGATGAAGATCTGCCCTTATCAGTACTTTTCCTTTTGTTCTCCTTCAAATTCATAATTGCAGTGTACCTCATAAACCTGGTTTATCATCTGTTTACTGACCAATCTCAGGCAGGAGGTGTTTTTTTTGGATGCTATTGATGTCATTTGCTGCAGTATAAATCCATTTCTAACAAACTTTAAACTTAAAAAAGGTCCATTTACATTGCAGTTTTTAATGTTATTAAAGAACTAACTGATTGGGCATTTGGATTGTTGACCTGCCCTTAATGTGAAATCCACTGCCGTTCAAATCATCACCATAAAGCAGTGGAATTAATGTATTTCAGTGATTTTCACATAAACAATCATTTTGTTCATTCACTGCTAATTGTGTGTTCCAGCCAAAGAGCATTTACTTCTGTTGATACAGTTGCAGTATGAACTTTCCAAGTTCTATTTCTTACTAATATATATAAATACGAACAAGCTGTATTCTATCTCAAGCCATTTGTTTTCCTTAGTATGTCCCAAATGCTGTAATCATTCAGATAGTATGAGGAAAGTTCTAGAGTTAAGACAAATACGACCCACAGGGGGTGTATTGGAGACGCAAACGCAACAAGTTTGAAAGCAAAATATAGTTATTTTCCATTATAAACAGCATAGTAAAATGTAATGGGTGACCACACACAAAGTGAATGTTGAGAACAAAGCAAGCTGCTTTATTTTGAGATGGCGTGCATTTTCTGCTGACGTAGCAATCTGTTTGTCAAAGAATAGATCTCCAGGGTTTAATTGATTGAACTACTGTATTTAAGGCAATTTGGCATTACCAAGCAAGAAACACTTGATTGCTAATGTATTTATTTTAACTACTAATGAAGCAGTAAGACTGCAGTTATTTAAATACCTTCATTCAGAAAATTGAACTGGAATAAATGTGTAGGTGGACGATTGCTGCCAAATGAACCATGGGAGCAGATGGAACTCATTATTTGCCACCAGTAATTACAGGTCATGTATACAACCCATTACTGCTGAACTTGTCGAAGTCTGATGTCCGTAGAGAGACAACATGATGAATAGCTATTGGAAACATTTTTTTTACAACATTAGTTATTACCATCATTTGTTGTAGTTATTGTATTTGCTGTCTCACTGAGGTTTCATGACAAATTTTCCTTTGCTACAAAATGTGCAACACATTGACACAGGCAGGTTTCAGTGCTGTAAGTTAGCTCTTGAGCCTTAGTATGATAATCTAGTTTAACATAAAACATATATTTTCAACTTATCCTTTTATTTTAAAAAAAACTACTTTAATTTTTCGTAGTACTGAGAATGAAAGTGATGCTGTGTCTAATTTCTGACAGACAATCTACCACGTTTAATGTGAGTGCAGTCATATTCTAGAAATAACCTCTGTTA